CTTATGGAAGGTTTTCATTCACTGTAGGGTTTAGAATCCCCTCTGCTTTTCCTTGGCTCTTGTTGTATAGTGTGTACTATACACAATTTGCAGTTACCCAGGTCATGAAGGGGTTTGGCTATCTTAGCATAAAGTGGAATAGATTTATGAAAATATCCTGTTAGTCCTAAAAAGCTTTGTAGATTTTTTGGCTGAGTAAAATTTTGAAAAGCAATAGTTTTGAAAAGTGATGGTCAGTTCTGTTTCCAATGACATGTCCCCAAATTTTATTTTTTGTTTTAAAAATTGACATTTTCTGAAAGTTATTTGTAATCTGTACTCTGAAGCAAATTTTTTTCTAATTTCTATAAAAAATTGATATTCATTCTTAGTTGATAAGATTATATCATCCGTATAGATAATTATATCATCCATATCATTTAGCAATTCTGTAAACATTGAATAAGTATACCTTTGGAAAACATTCAGACTGATACACAGTCCAAAAGGAGCTTTAAGAAATTCATAAATACCATTATGTGTTATGAATGCAGTGTATTTTCTGCATTTTTCATTGATGTCTATGTGGAAAAAGCCATTTTTTTAAATCTAGTGCGCTGAAGACCTTTGCCTGTTCTAAGCGATCAAGGATTTCTGGAATTAAAGACGGGGAATTTGTCTTTAGTGTTTATTCTTGTTTAAGTTTTTATAATCAATTTGTAATAGATATGAGTTATCTTTCTTTTACTCAAAACTATAGGTGCTGGATAATTTGAACTACTAGGCTTTATTACATCATCATTCAACCACTCTTGAATTTGCTCATCAGTAATATTTTTGCTCCGTGAATGATTGTATCTTTGATTTTGACAAACCAGAGTTTCATGGTGTAAATTTATTTGCATCTTGAAATTGGATTGTGTGTTTTACAGGCTGATATGAATTCATAATTTATATAATTTAATTTATATAATATTTCTCTTTGTTCAACATTCAAGATGTGAGTTAAATCAGTCTCATTAACAGAAATTGCATCACTATGTGGGTAAGGCGATTCAATTCTAAGTGACTTCCGCTTTCATGAATAAAAGAACTATCATTGTTTGCATTGAGAGACGATATCCGATTCCAACAACCTATAAATACTACTCACTGATACAGTGATGTTTTTAGGTTACGCATTACCCAACAAGTTACTATGTGGTTATGCTCTTATCAAATTCACATTAATTTTATTCTGTTGACAGCTTATTTGAAGATGATTCTTAGTGATGGATATGTTTAATCGATTTACATCCAAACATAACACAATTTGATTGCATAATGACTTAACGACATAAACTTTTTGTATGAATTGAAAAACCATCGATTCAAATTTGAGAAGTAAAAAAGCCTATGGGAGAAATTTCCTTCAATTCAATGGCCATTAATATTGCATTTCTAGGATTTAATTTGGGGACCCAGTTTCTTTATGTAACTCTACTCTGCATATTGTGACATCTGAAGCAGTGCCAACCAAACTGTTAATTAAATGATAATTTCTACAGTTTTCATAATTCTACCATTATCCATAATTTTCTGAATCAAAGATATTTCCTTCTCAAGAATTTCATTTTGAATAGAAGTACAGCCTGTTGATTTATGTCCCAACTTCTTACATTTTATTCCTTTTGTTTTGTTTTTATACTCAGTTGATTTGTGACCCAGTGAAGTTAAAACACTTCACTTTATTTACATTAGATTGATTTTGATTTGATGATGGGGGCTTTCTTTTATCTTAAGTTTGTGCTTTTGCTTTTAGTTTCTAAACTTATCTGCTCACATTTTCTTATAAAGTTTTAGCTTCTGCTTAAATTCAGATATATTTCACAACCGTAAAATATGTTTTTTTTTGTATTACAGGATCTGGTATGCCATCGATAACATATTTAAGTAATAAAACATCTTCAATGCTATCTTGCGAATACATTTCCTTCATCTTAAAAATATAATACTCTAAAGATTCATTAGGCATTAATTTACATTTAGACAACATTTTGTGCAATTCAGCTGAATTAAAAGCTCGACCAAATTGAGATTTCAAATGATTTTTTTAGCTTACAGTTTTGGGTTCACTTTGAACAAGTAATTTTGCTTTACCTTTCAGTGACTTTTTAGTGAAAACTAGCTTATGCAAATCACTAAATTTTGAAGAATATATAACATCTTCAAACTCATCAATCCATTTATCAAAATTTTTATATGCGTTTCCAGAAAAAGGAATAACAATATTTTCAGTATTGGAAAAATTGATGGGAGGTTTAAAATATTCTTGAATTGAAAGATGCACACTTTTATTTACTTGAGACTCATCAAAACCAGGATTGACTGTTTGATTATCATCAAGCATTTCTTTGGAAATTCTATTGGGCTTAATAGTTTCATTTTCATTATTACTATTTTCTTCATGCAAAACATTTTGACAATAATACAGATAAATAGCATAGCAAAGCGACAATTCATGTTACTATTTCTGTTTTTGAACTCTAAATTTATGCATAGTACCTAAAAAACTTTAATTAACTCATATAAAGTAAAATTATTCTGTACAGTATCTACTTTCTTGTTAAATTCTTCATAATTTGGTTAAAATATAAAGCCAGAAAACTCACTTAATCTTTTCCTTTTATTTCTGTCACCCTTAAAATTAAAAGTAAGTTTATACAAAGTTCTGATTTCAGAAGTTTTACCATTCTTAAAAACTGCTTCCAATTCTGGAATTTCAGCTAACTTCATATTAAAAAGAAGGTTTCACTACTCACCCAAAAGATAGATTGTCATGAAGTTGTAATCCACAGTTCGCTAGAACTCACAATCAAAACACTTACAGTCAAACAGTCACAGTTCGCATGCTGCTATTGGCTTGAGTGCTATCGATTTCAATTTTCAGGATCAGTTCAGGAAATTCCTTGATTCACTCTCTATAGTCGGGGGCCAGTTTTCTTGTGGAGTGTAAACAGAGAGCACAATAGAAAATTTAAAATGTGCTACTTTATTAACTTTTTATTAACTAAACTATTGTGATTAAATAAATAAAAGTGGCTAGCTAGGATTTGGTACAAAGTTGCTGGACAACCCCACAAGACTATGATAGTCCGTACACGTTCACAGTCACATAACCCATTTCACTGGATATCCCTTGCATGTATCGTACTCTATCGTCTCTTGCACAAAGTTCAAATATGCTCAAATGCTGGCTGAACACTATTATCTGGAAGGCCATCTACTTCCAAAACTTTTGTAAGGCTCATCTGTCTCATGTCTTCTGTTCTGACCGTCTTGCTCTCATCCACACCCACTGCTCATCTGATAATGTGCTGGTAGCAACCTTGAGTGATGTCACTTCCAGATCTCCCAGCTGTGTGTAAATTCTTACATGTATTAGAAATTATTCATCACCAATAGTTCCAATTTCTAATGGAATATCAATATTTTTCAAACTAATTGGTAGTGAATGCAAAACTTGTTTATGAGCTCTTTTTCTTTATAACTTGGTGTAGAGCTTGGCAGCTAGTCATTGCAGGATGATTTTGCCTTTCTCTTGAATAATTTGTGCTGCTGTTTTGTAAGCTTGGTGAGTGTTTCATTCAATATTATCTATTACTACAGCAAAATCCTTTTCTTTCTGTCTTTATTATTATTTTTTTTTAAATTTTTTTTTTTAGTATCAGGTCCATGACTGTTCCCTTTGGATCTAAAGGTGGTGTTGTCCAGTTGCAGGTACAGTGTTTGTGTATCCTCCACAATTCAAAGTTATGTGCTTCTCATAATATCAGTACTGCTATTTTTTGTCTTTCTACATCAAATAATCATCAATTAAAAGGACCCCTTTTTGAAGATACAGCTTTGCACATTTGAGCCACTTTTCAAAAGTACGAGTAATATGTGTAACCCGTAATGCACCCACCTAATATGTTTTAAGGTATGAAACAGGAGAGATAGTAAGAGACTAGATGAATGAGACACAATTTAATGTTTTAATTTTATCTATAGTATTTCAGCAATAATGCTTCACCAATAAGCATTACTTTTTGCATTCTTTCTTTGGGTTCTGTGCACAGAATTTGGGAGACAAAGTTACTCCCTCTCCCCCTGCACTCAGTTAGTGACTGGAAGCACTAACAATACATCTCTAGAAGATTCCAGGCAAACGAACCTATTGGGCACTTGAGTTGTCGGGTGAGCAGATTACCTGATGCATTACTGAGAAGGATGTCCAGCTCAAGATGAAGTTTAAGCTTGTGTTAAGAAAAGTTGGAACTTTGTGTTTTTTTGGCTGATATTATCTGCTATCACTGCTGTTGTCCTGCACATTTTCATTTATCCTTTTTGTGCCTGTAGTTACCAAGCAGATAAAACAGCTGACACTGGTAATTTGGCTTGTGTTCAAATCATGGAGAATAAACTTGCTGCATGGGTGTAATCTCAGAATTTGTTAGTAAAGGCTGTGTAGTCTAAAAGTTGTCAATAAAGCTCTTTAAACAAATGATTAATAAGATATATTTTAATAATGTTTAATTTTTTTCTGTTAATAAGCAGGAGAGGAAGTGGGAGTTTTTATGGTTTTTAAATACATAGTTCTTATTGCTTTTAAATTTAGATATATAGAAACTAATTCCTGCTGATTTTAAACTTGAATGAAAGACGGTGATTTATGTCATGTTTTGTAATTTCAGTCTTGTGCTACCACTTTATTTTATTTATAATTATATCCTTTTTAACTGAGATAAGGTTTCACTGATTTCTTATAAATCTACTTTTCACAGTTACAAAAGGGAGGAGTTTATATTTTAGAATACATAAAATTCATGTTTCTAAGAAAAGAAAAACTTGTATCAGCTATTAGGTCAATATTATATATTCTTTTAAAATTATTTGCTATCATTATTTGCAATTAATCATTTGTGTATATTGCATATTATATTTATTTCTATGCCACAGTTACATTATAAATTGAAACAACATAATATTTTAAATTTTAGATCCTGAAGAGCATGTAAGAGGTTTATTGCTACTAGGCCCAAGTGGTACTGGGAAAAGCTCTGTTGCAGAAGCTATTCAAATGGAATATAAGATACCTATTTTTGTCATAAAACATAGGTATTTAAGCAATTACTTTTGAATTAATTTCAATACATAAATAGCAGAATATGATAACATGTGTTCAGTGAAAGAAATTAACTATATTTTGAATCTATTTTAAAATATCATGCAAATATAAACATTTTGTGCATTATTATTATGTGTATATTTCGAAGTAATACATCTTAAAAAGATTGGACTGAAATCCAAGCTAGGGCTAGGTTTGAAATCCTAATATGGGCTGGCTGCTTAGGATTCTTCATAATTTAACTATAATCGAAATATGAATCAGTTTCCCATAAAAGTCCTCCACAAAAGCATTTCTCCTCTAGGAGCCATTGAATTTGAAACTTTAAACCTCAATTAGGAAATATAATTGTTCAAGAAAGAACATAAAGAACATATATTATGAGATAATTTATTTGAAATAATATGGGGCAGCAAAACTTTATGAAATAGTAAGAATATCAAAAACAAATCCAGATTTTAGCCATTAACCAAGGAGCTCAACTTGCAGCAATGAGCATAAATGAACACAGATCATAATACATATTTATGACTTACAGATATCGTGCACATTTAGGACTTAAGAATTGCTTAATCTTGCAACTGCCAAAGGGTTAAAGTGGGTAATGTGTTCTTTACTAACTCCTGCACATATATTGTAATGGGGATTTGTATATTCAATAAGTTGGTTAATTAGAGATTTGTTGAGTAAGTTTTACTTCTCTGCAAATATGGTCTTGTTATCTCTGACAGCAATCTCATGCAGCAAAAGTTCCAAATGGGATTCAGAGCAAGAGATTTGATTGGCCAGTTTATTCACTAAATGACTTTGATTTAAAACAAATTTTCAAGCAAGTTTGCTGAATGTAGATATTAATTATCACCCATGAATAGACAAATTGAATCCATATGCATCACTAAAGGATCTTACATAGCATTACAGGACTTCATCTTGACTTCCTTGGTTGAATATGTGCAGAGGAGTCTCTCTCTCCTCGATTTTATACCTCTCTGTTTGATCAAATTTGTATTCTTATAATATTCAAATTTGTTAATGCTTCCCAACAGCATAGTGTACCACTGTAACATTGCAAACATATTACACTGTGATATTTGCAATGTCACATCCAAGTCATAATGCCACAGTGACATTGCAGGTGTGTCCTTATGTCTGCTTGTTGTGATACCATACGATGGATTCCCAGACGAAAGCCCACTGGACGAAAGTGCACGCGACAAAAGCCCACTATGATAATTGCCCACGCGACAAATACCCACATCGATGAAAGCACACATTGATGAAAGCCCACACTGATAAAAGCTCACGTTGATAAAAGCTCACATAGATATAAGCCCATACTGATAAAAGCGCACATAATCAAAAGAGATTTATGCTTTTTTAATTCTTTTTATATATTTATAATTTTAATTATAATAAATGGAGTATTCAGATCTAAATTTTAATGTCTCAAATATGTCTGTTTGTATATTTTATCACTACTTTATTTGTTTAGTTTATTAGGTTGAAAGCAAACTTTCTACTCTCACTACTCAGCAAATTCTTACATGCTGAAGAAGATTTTATGATGCTACCTTACTTTAATTAATGCCTTACTTTGCCACCTATGTCATTCTTTCGCCCGCAGGGGCGGTGCTTACACATCTCTTTATTTATAAATAAACGTTATTGGCCGAGGCCGAAGAAATATTGGTTTATACTCTATGTAGTAGACACCAAAAGTTAGAACGGATGACTTGACTTGACTTCTGATTAAGTGATTAGCTATAACGTTTCGATGATAAATCTGAAATTGCATTTTATTATTTATTTACTTATTTAACTTTGGTATTTGTTTGTGAAAATGAAAAATATTATGGAGTTTCTCACATGCTATTTTTAAGGTAATATGGCTGAGATTAAGTATAATTATGTTTCATTATTAAAACTATTAACTTTTTAATTAAAAGCACTTGAATTTTATTTTATTTTATTTATTTATTTATTTTTTTTTTTTTTTTTTAGTTTTTTCCTTTAGTTCCTTTTTAGTTTTTCCTTTAGTTCCTTTTTAGTTTAGGAATATTAAAACAGTTAAGCACAATGAAAACTTGGCTAAGAGATATTTTATTCTTTACTTTAGACTGAGCTTATTATCAAAGTTTAAACATATTTCTCATTGAAAGCTGCTTTGAATGTAACAATTATTTGATTCACAGTTTTAAAGGATTTTGGTTGTAGATATGGTGATCTTAGAAATGTGATATTCGCTGGCAATTTTCGTTTATGTTCACAAAAAATGCAGGTCTCTTTCAAAAGGTGACCTCTTAGAAATGTCCCCAATAGATATAATTTACTATAATTATTTTCTAATGGATAATGGAATTAATTTAATCTAATGTTGATTAGAAAACTGCTATTTACAATAGGAAGACTTAAACCACTATAACTGTAATTAAAAGCACTGTAATTTTTCTTTCACAATCAGCTTTTATATAAGATTTGCTGCTTTCTGTGTATTTTCCATGTTATATAACTGATATCCATACATCTTGAACAAATATACAGCAAATGCAAGATAAATTATTAAAAAATTACAATTTGAAACATTAATACTAATTTTCTATTACTATACATAATTCCATTAATGAATGATGAATTTATATAATATGTATACGTAGAATCTAAAATGATGAACTTTGGACCTGATGACTATAAATATATATTTATGTAGCTACAAAATTTTATTAGATGTTATTATTTTTCTCTGCCATCTTCACAATCTCTAATAAAATGCTACATATTTATTACTATAGTTTGAGGTGATTGTACTTAAATTTGTAGATATGTTGACTTCTAAGAGTTGTTCCATCCCCCCCCAAAAAATAAATAAATAAAATGAAAATTTAAAACACTATTCCAAATTGTTGTAGTTGAAAGATTAAAAGGTTACATTTGGAATTCATTTTCTGACAGGGTGTCAGCTGACAGTTTTAATTTATTCAGAAATCTAAAAAAAAAATATCTCTAGAAAATTGCCAAATTAAAATTGTTACATTCAAAACAGCTTTCAATGAGAAATATGTTTAAACTTTGAAAGTTTGATAATAAGCTCAGTCTAAAGTAAAGAATAAAATATCCCTTATTAAAGTTTTCATTGTGCTTTTATATTCTTTAATAGTAATTTTAATTCTCTTTTAATATTCCTAAACTATTTTAATATTCCTAAACTAAAAAGGAACTAAAGGAAAAACTAAAAAGAAATAAAATAAAATTCAAGTGTTTTTAATTTTAAAATTAATAGTTTTAATAATGAAACATAATTATACTTAATCTCAGCCATATTACCTTAAAAATAGCATGTGAGAAACTCCACAATGATATTTTTCATTTTCACATACACATACTAAAGTTAAATAAGGAAATAAATAATAAAATGCAATTTCAGATTTATCATCGAAACGTTATAGCTAATCACTTAATCAGAGAGCAGAAAGTTTGCTTTCAACCTAATAAATTAAACAAACAAAGTTGTGATAAAATAACAAACAGACATTTTTGAGACATTAGAATTCAGATCTGAATACTCCATTTATTATAATTAAAATTATAAATATATAAAAATAATTAAAAAAGCATAAATCTCTTTTGATTATGTGCGCTTTTATCAGTATGGGCTTATATCTATGTGAGCTTTTATCAACGTGAGCTTTTATCAGTGTGGGCTTTCATCAATGTGTGCTTTCATCGATGTGGGTATTTGTCGCGTGGGCAATTATCCCAGTGGGGTCTTTTTTGTGGGCTTTTGTCACGTGCACTTTCGTTCAGTGGGCTTTTGTCTGGTCACCCATACGATGATATTTATTCAGTGTTGTATTGTGACATCATGTTGTGACATTAATGTGAAGTCTCGCTGCAACATTAATGTGAAGTCATGCTGGAACGTTAATGTGAAGTCACACTGCAGTATTGTTGTAATGGTCTACTATGACATTTTGTAGTCACACTGCAATATTGATTTAATGTCATGCTGCGACTTATATGTAACAATGATGTATAAAGTATAACATACCTGCAAATGCAGATTGTATTACACATCATCCAAAACTGATCATCTGTCATTTTCTTAGCATATTCCATTGCATGTATTTTTTAATATTCCCTCTTCAGGTGCAATATAATTTTGCTCTCATACTTTAGGACTCTATTTTAGAACTTAATATTTAAAGACACTTATATTTTTCAATTAAAATTTATGAATTATATTAAAAGTTTGAGTTATTATTAGCTTAATGAAAAGGTAATTTCATTTTTTGATTTAACACCAATGTTTAGTTTCCCAAAAATTGAAATAATTTTTTAAAAATAATTTTTTATTTGGTTGGAATATTTTTTTTAACAAATGTTTTAACAATTTGGCTTTTAATATCTTTTTTTTTTTTCTTTTCTATTTTTCCCTCTTGTAAAAGCTTTTTTTCCCCCCAGAAAATATGCAGCATTAGTAGATTTTAGATTTGAAAATTAGATTAAAAGAATCTATTCTTATACTATATATGGAATATTTACCTATTTGAACATTTTTCCTGTATTAACAAAGCATGAAACATTTCTGAATAAACACATTTTGCAAATCAACGTAATTCAATTTGTAATCAACATCTTTCACTAAATTTTATTTTAATTTTCAGTTTAGTAATTTGTTGTTTAGTGTGCAGTAGTGAACAAATATTTCTGGGTAAAAAAAAAAATTGTTTGAAAACGTGGCTCTAGAAGATACGTCACAAATTTATATTTAGTTATTAAAATATGCATTTTCTTTCACAATTATTTCTTCACTGACAAATTAGTTTAATCGAATTTTTAAACTATAAATTAAAAATAACTCTTACATAGTAGAGCTTCAACATATTTAAATAAATAATTATATTAAATAAAAATTCCATGTAATTAATTTCTTTAGCTAATTAGTTTAAATCCTATAATTTAAATATTTGTGCATTTATTTAAGGCATTTTACTAACCTCAACAGTAAAATTTAAATTTAATACAGTTTTATCCAGTTTATTATGTAAAAACAAAATAAATTTTTACAAATTAATAATCCCAGTTCATAAAACAATTATTATTGCCAAAGATCGGTTACAGGAAATCTGCATTACTTATTCCCGAGAATATAAACTGTACCGTAACCTTCATAGCAAAGCTTAAATAAAGTTATTAGCTCCTAAGGTAAACTGAATGAAACTCAGCTGTTTATTTGAAAAATTTCATAACTTTTAATCAACACATATGACAAGGTAAGTGCACTGTTTATTGTATTCTGAAGTGAATGATATCAGTAATGATAAATATGTAATAGTTAAAGCAAAATTAAAAAAAATATTATTGAGAATTATTAACATCAGAAAAATATCAGTGGGGTTTTTTTACTATTCCTAAGTTTCTGCATAATGGAATCTGAACTGTTTTTAAACTTGTGCATTTGGAATTATTTTAATATGATTTTTATTGAGCAAAGGTGAAGATTCAGAAATATATTTTGGGATAAAAATGGGTACATGAGATATGCTTTTTCATACAGTTTTTCACGCTTAACATAAATATGAAAACAAGTTCGAGTTAACCAAAAAAATCTGATAACTAATGTTCTAGTTTTTTAGATTATTAATTATTTCTATGTTATCCAAAATTAATCTTGTTTTTTAATAGATTCCAATTTTTGCTTTGATTCGGATAATATGAAAAGATGTTTTATAATGCATACTTTTAAAAAGCTGTTAATTTAATCTAGATGAATCTGTACAGCACAGAGTCATATCATTTCTTGCTGATTCATGCACTTGCTAGTAATGGGGTACAAATACTGCAGAAATAAGGATTTGAAAGGTAATAAAAATGTTTAGTAGAAACAGTGCTGAAATTTATGACAAGTATTAAAATCTGATGGCATGGCTCTGATGCTGGACAAGTGGACCTTCATTTCTTTATTAAAATCATAAATAGTGTCATACTCTATTGATTTGCTTTTTACTGTAAATTGCCAAAAAATTATTAATATTTATTTTAGTATTAATTTTATTTTATTACTTGATACAAATTGAACAAACCTTTTTTTAGTGTAATTGAATTGAGGAGAAATAATTGTATGATTTGTTTAGAAAAGAAAATAATCTTTTATTTACTAGTAAATATAAAAACAGTAATTTTTTACAGTAAATATAAAAACAAGAACATTTCTTTCATTTCAGAATCAACACAATTAAAACTCAATTTCATTTATCTAGTATAGTTCAAATAGAAATGAGTGTTTATGAAAATAAAAAGTAATCCCACTGCTTAATTTTATATGAAAAAGACATATTTTATATTGTTTCACGTCCAACAATTATTTCATGTTTCAGCTACATCAATTTGAAATTTCTGTTAAAATAAGAAAAGACTAATGAAAATGTAAAATTTCTTTGATTAACAGTAGTTACGAAGTCTGTAAATTATTTTCTGATGGCACAAAGACTGTATTTTAAAGCTGTCTTGCCATTTTCATAATCGTCTTTTGCTTTAGAATGGCCAGCATCTCTCCACTTCTAAATTGGGCATTAATAACTTCATCATATTTTAACAAACTAGTTTTTCTCTTGATTAACACTGAAAGCAATTCCTTCAACGCTTCTATGTTTGGATTTTCGTTTTCAGTTTCCTTATTAATTTTGTTACACTGGTTCAGACCGAAGCTCTAATTTTTCTATTTCTCTCTAAGGTTTCTTCCAAACTCATTTTAATTTCCAAAAATAAACTTTATGCAGATAAATCAAATTACTCACCTCCCTTACGGCCAGATGTCACCACAAATCTTGTGAAATAAACTTACTTATATTCCATATTCACATCGGTGGATCTTGATGTCGTATTGTGTTAAATAAAACCACTTCATTTCTTCTAACTACTTTATGAATCAAATATATTTACAAGTATATTACAGACTGGTTTGAGTTACATAATAACTGTTTAATAAAACACCTCTGTATATGACCATACTCAACCACTCTCTCAGAAAAAACTCTTAATTAGCTAAATATACAGGTGGCACAGCGCCCTCTATCTCTTTTTTCTACAGCTTTAAATGCATTAATGATATTTTATTTGTTCAGTCCTATGTATTGCTTTACCTTCAGATGCTTTTTATTAATTATAGATTTTCTGTTGCTAACTTTTTATGTAATTTATTATTATTATTATTATTTTAGCAGTGAAGGGGGATTTAAAAGTAAATTGAGAAAGATATTTAGTCAAGCTGCAAAAGAGTAAGTTTTTTAATAATTATGATGGCATGTTCAGAATGGTAATTTTTATGTGTGTTTTTATTATGCTATTTGCTTTTTCAGATGTCCATGTCTGTTATTTATAGATGATATTGATTCTTTGCTTTTTGACCAATCTGTGTTATCCCAAAATGAAGATGTTGCTTATAATGAGCTTTGTGCTATGCTCAGTAATTTTCTGGTAATATTTATTATTTGATTTACTTTTATAATGTGCTATGTATGAACATTTGCTAATACATTGACGGTATTTGAAGGTTTTAGCAATTGCACATAACCTTCAAATTAATTAACTTTGAAGCATGGGTAAATGAATGTTTCTGCCCTTGTTACATACATCTGAAGGAGTTTTTTTTTTTTTTTTAAATTTAATGTACATGTAGGATATGTACATTTTAACATGATTTAAGAACACATAAATTCATATATGTACATTCAGTTTAAAAGGAGGGGAGCCAGTTTTTTTATCTTATATCTAGTTGACCGATTGATGAAATTCAACTTGCATTTTTCATGTCACAAATATGAGGCTTAGGATATATATTACATTTTTGTCCAGCTTTGTTCTGATGGATGTATTTCGATATAAAGCCAGACTTTTTCTGTCATGGCATGCAAATTTTTCTCCATTTTCCAATTCTGTGCCTCAAATTATGGTGAACTGCCAAGTTTTATAATAATCACAGCAGCACTGTTTTTAAAATTAGCACTCAAACTTTTAACCCTGCAGTGTTAATTTAATTTGTCATATATTTAATTGTATTCCTTTTTAAATTTAACTTATTTGATTTCATCTTTTGCAGTTCAAAATTTAGGTTTAATCTAAATAATATTCATACAGTTTTCCAATTTATTTTGAATTAACTTTTAAAAATTTTTGGAAAACATTTGAATTATTACCTGTAGAATTGTTACTGTCATTTTAAAATAAATGTACTTTTAGACTTACTTGCAAAATTTAGAGATCTTTATTCAAAGTTACTGATATATAAGAATTTATATCAGTAACTTTGAATAAAGATCTTTTTTTTTATATATAAAAATTTATATATCAGCATGTTTTGAAATGTGGTATACCTGTTACAAATGATATTATTCATGGCTTTCGAGAACAAGGCCTTACAGCTCAGTGACGTAGAGCGTGTGATGTCAATACAGAGAGTGCACCTTTCTTTGGGTTTGAGGGCAGCATTGGCTCAAAAGTTATTGTTAGTCGCCATTGCTACGAGAGAGTTGATTGAACTGCAATTATTGACTTAAAATCTTGGTATATACTGTGCTTTTTTCGTGGTCGGGCACTTTAAATTTGATTTTTTTTTTCAATTTGTGGGTTGTTCCAGAAACAATATGATGTTTTACATGTGTGCAGTGCTGCGATGTAACTGAAATTACAATACGTATTTTCGCTTTTCCTGTTGATGCAGATGTGAAAGTGGATACGTGTAATAAAACTTCATTCCGACTAAAAACAGCAAGGTGAGGTTTCATTACTATGATTTTATTTATATTTAAAGAGAACTAGATTAAATATTTGGTACATTTAATATGTCTTTTTAAAGCAAACCCCACGAAAACAGGAAAATTTAACCCCTCGGGGTGAAAACGTGCGCTTATCGAAGCCAGATACCGGGTCCTCCGGCCGGGCATTTTGTCAAGCTAATCCTAATTCCAGTAACGCATGTTTAATAGGTTGCCACGCTACCTGGAAAACCGGGAGAACCGGGAAAAGTCAGGGATTCGAAAATTGACCAAAAAATTCAGGGAAAAGTCAGGGAATTTAAGTATTTTTGTCAAAATCTGGAAAAGTCAGGGAAGTTCATACAACGATCCCGCCAAAAAAAGCGATTTTTGCGCCGACGTCGGAAGAGATAACTTTTTTGGCGAATTGCGTATCACGTGAGTGTCATTCGGGCAGCTGGCATAGAGCCAATTTTCGCAGCTCCAATTTGATTGTCTTTTAGAAAGGCAAAGCAAGTTTCCCGCAACTTTTGGTTTCCAGTATTCTCGAGAATCGCATGTGCAGTGCATGAACTAAAAAGAAAGTACCTGTTCTCGTATAAAACAAAATGGGTTTAATCCTAGTATACGGTACCATGGAGGTTAGAATCAAAGAATATGTATTGTAAAGAAGGAAAACCTCTCTGCAACAGACGTGGCTCCGTTCCATCATAGAGGGAAACAGCTGTGCATGTCGTGATATATCTGTCGCCAAAGCTCGAAACCGGTGTCGAAGTTCGAAGGTCACGTTATCAAGAGTTCATTAAAATGAATATCGTTTAAAATTTCTTTAACCACTTGCGCTAAAAAGACGTGCCACGCACGTCGAGATGTTTTTGTCTCAAACTGCGAGAGCGACGTGAACACCACGTTGATAAGCATTTATCGCAAAAATGAAAATAACATGGTGCACACGTCGCCTAACAGCGAGATCACACGTCGCCTAACAACTGGCCGCCAGGTTCCGTCGCCAAATCCCTTGGCAATTTTCCCTCCGCATTCTAGCGGCGTAATAGCATTTTACTTGTATGGAACCTTTTCTTTCTTTACATAGACCAAAGAATTAGAGATTCTTTGCATAGACGTTCTTTGGTTAGAATAATCTCCATGTATGGGATTTGGCGACATGATGATGCGCAGTAAACGGGTCATTTTGGTCTTGGCGACAATTTTCAAAATCGTGCCAAAGCCTTACCGTATACTAGAATTTTACCGCAAAATCTTTTTAAACTTTTTTTTTTCTTTTAATAAATACCTTGCCATTTTGCAGTAAAATAAAAAAATAGTAATCAGTCATCTAGGCTAACCATGTAATATAACTATATTCGCTAAAATATCGTTGATTATTCTAATTCAATTTTTAAGTAATTATCTTTTTTTTATGTTATTCGTATAATTTAATGATTGCTTCTTCCCTCTAAATTTATTTATTATTAGTAAATAATATTTCCAAATTTCAGGAAATTTTCTCTGGCATAATCTTGAAATTAATTCTAGCAGTATGATGACATACCATCACGAAATTTAATGCACATATTTTTTTCCTTATGTATGCTGCGAAATAAATATAAAATACCTCAATTTATTAAAATAGATTTCTTTCTTTCGTTTAGCTGCAGAATGTCTGCAAAAAAAGCCTTATTTTATTCCAGATTGGGAAGATTCTAATCTCAATCTTCAGTGGAGAAAACAACAACTATTATAATTATATTTGTGTTTTCAAGTGTTAAGGTGCTTTTTAAGAACATACCTCACACAAATTAAATTTACCTAAAATCTAACCTAACTATTTAGCATTGCGTTGTGATTTATAAGGACCGGATTAGCCTCGTGTTGAACTGGTGATGATCATGAGTAATAATTAAATAAAACATACATTTGTTATCCAATGTATATATCTTAAATTTTATTAAGTTTCTTAAGTGGAAAAGTAAACAAAATTATCAAACAAAGTATACCAAGAATAATTAAGAATAAATGTCCTCTGGGATTTATTGAATAATTAAGTGAATTTGCTACACAATACAAGTAATACCATAATTAATTTACCTCTTAGCGTAGCCAAAGTACATTACGTGGATAGACTGGAATTTTCTTGAAACACACCTGGAAAACCTGGAAAAGTCAGGGAATTTCATTCTCCTGTTTGAGTGGCAACCCTGAATAATGCTCTATAGAGTATTTAAACGGCTTATGCTTTATAGATCTGTTATATATATACTTTAATTACCTTATTTCTTGTTTAAATGCATATTTTACACATTTTATTTTAATTACTCACCATTTTATGACTTTTAACATTATACATCTGAAAACTAAATATAGTACTTAAAATTCTCTTTTCGTATGAAAAATTTGAAAACAGGGATCTACACACAGTCCTACATTACATTCCTTGGACTAGTAATAACTCATTTGCCGTTTTGGAGGATTTTTCCGGGAATGTGAACAAACGAAGCATCGTCGTCTCATTTTCTTATCAGTCTCTTCTGAACAAAGTTTTGGAAAATGTCTTTCAGTTAATCTTTCAGAATCAATATCAGAATTTCAGAATCAATATCTGAAATATTTTGCATCATTTCTGCTATTTCATGCTCTGTTAAACATTTTCGACGCTTCGACATTGCAACGGTAAAAACAGAAAGAATTCACGTCTAACAAGATCTAATTATTTTCTAAAAACTGAACTGCAAACCGAAATACTCAACGCTTTAGTGAATATAAACTTCTACTTACAATAAACAACTACCACGTGCGAATAAAGTGCGATTTAAAGAGACGTAATAAATCACGCCATTCGGAAACATTTAGTTCCCCGTTTGTTTATATAATCAAAAACACGTGTATGTGAGTCATGCTTCTCTCATTTCGAGTAGAAGGTCTAATGTACATGTACCTGAAACCATATGGACATACAGTGCCATCTTGTGGCAGAAATTATAGTTTGAAGAACGTTCCAGGACACTGACACAAATATGTGACAGTCGGTAGTAAACAGGAAAATGCTCTGTCACGCCTGAGTGTCGGCCGGGAGGTGAGTGTGTTCGTTGCTGGCACATAGACGTGACAGTCGGCACAAAGGTGTTAAAAGTAAACAATAAATTAATTAAGTCCATATTACTACAGGATTATCTAATGTATAGTAAATTTTGTTTCATTTATTGCTGAAACGCTGTGCATTATGATTATAAATTGAGCATATAGCATTGAATGATTTGCAATATCTAATTTATTTCAGTTTCATTTTTAATGTACTTGTCATTATAGTTTTAAAGATTTAAAAGTAATAATGTTTTTTATTTAAAAATTCAAATTTGTGTTTTTCACATTACCCTTTTTTAAAACTTTTTTTCTCATATTTTCAAAATCATTAAGAAAATTGTAATTAATGTTATATTTTTAAAAACATATATAAACAAAACTTGAAAACAATATTGTTACACCAGTTGCTTATAGCTTAGAATTTTTTTCCCTAAAATTTTGCCGTTACATTTTTAAAATTAAACTTCATACATAAGCAAAATGCTAAATTTTTGAAAAGCTATAGAGTATATGATGTTTTAAATGGATACAGTAGAATAAACAATTAAAAAAGATTATATATATTGGGAGAATGAAGTGCTTTTGCAAGAGACGTCCGGTATCCTATACTATCATTGCACTTTCCTGATATGATATAGGCAC